GCAGCCGGGAGGGGAAGGGAAAAGGGATTGGGGTACGGGAATGGGGATTGGGGAAAAGGGATTGGGGATTGGGGTACGGGAATGGGAATGGGGTACGGGAAATGGGATTGGGGTACGGGAAAGGGATTGGGGTACGGGAATGGGGATTGGGGTACGGGAAATGGGAATGGGGTACGGGAAATGGGAATGGGGTACGGGAAAGGGATTGGGGTACGGGAAATGGGGATTGGGGAAAAGGGATTGGGGACTGGGGTACGGGGAATGGGATTGGGGTACGGAAAATGGGGATTGGGATATGGGAAAGGGAATCGGGGTACAGTAAAGGGGATTGGGGTACGGGAATGGGGACTGGGGTACGGGAAAGGGTATTGGGGTACAGGAAAGGGAGTTGGGATACAGGGATTGGGGATTGGGGTATGGGGAAAAGGGGATTGGGGTATAGGTACAGGACAATCCCATCCCACCCCTGCCATGGCAGGGACACCTCCCACTGTCCCAGGCTGCTCCCAGCCCTGCCCAGCCTGGCCTTGGGCACTGCCAGGGATCCAGGGGCAGCCACAGCTGCTCTGGGCACCCCAAGCCAGGGCCTGCCCACCCTGCCAGGGAACAATTCCTGCCCAATCTCCCATCCAGCCCTGCCCTCTGCCACTGGCAGCCATTCCCTGGCTCCTGTCCCTGCAGGCCTTGTCCCCAGTCCCTCTGCAGCTCTCCTGGAGCCCCTTCAGGCCCTGCCAGGGGCTCTGAGCTCTGCCTGGAGCCTTCTCTTGTCCAGGGGAGCAGCCCCAGCTCTCCTGGAGGGGACAGGACATCTGGGGGATCCTTGAGGCTGGTTTTAGGACAGGGGAGCTGTGGTGGGCAGCTCCCTGTGGCACTGCCCGGGCTCCCCAGGGACTCCGAGGAGCCACCGGGCCAGGAGTGAAGCAGTTAAACTCTGTAGAAAACACAGGCCGGTGATGTTGTGTTGTATAACAGACAGATAATACGTTTTTTTCCCTGGCATCTGTGCTCCAGCTTGCCTGAAAAGCTCCAGACCTGAATTTCAACCCCTGTCAGCAGTTCCAGTCCGGCCTCGCAGCGCTGTCACCCGCAGTAAATTACCGGCTTGGCGTTAATCTGCCCGAGCGCAGAGAGCCGAGATCCCTGCAAATGCATCTCCCAGACATCCCAGCTTTAAAATCCATTCGGGGGAAGCAGAGCAGGGGTTTTATTGGAAGGCAAAGAGAAAGCTCCGCTCCCGAGGGAGCGCGGCCCAGGGGAGGGGAGATGAAGCCACCCCCGGGGGCGGGGGGGACAGGCCATTGTTTGCTACAAAGGACAGGAAACGAGCCTCAAAGGGGACGTGAAAGAGCCTTAAAACAAATGCAGATCAGCGAGCGGGGATGGCTCCGAGCATCTCCCGCCTGCGCTGCCCGGGGACCCTTCGGGTGCTGGGACCTGCCTTTGCCCCAGGGTGGAGGAGAAAAGGGCCAGAAGAGCCTGGGATCACCCCGATCCACCCATTGTGGCCGGCCTCGATGGTTGTAGAATTGTCAAATCAAGGAGTGGTTTGGGATGGAAGGGACCTTAAAGTGCCACCCCAGCCATGGCAGGGACACTTCCACTGTCCCAAGGCTGCTCCCAGCCCTGTCCAGCCTGGCCTTGGCCTCATGGTTGGACTCGATGGTCTTAAAGCTCCTTTCCAACCTAAAAAATTCCATGGTTCCAACCTCCTTCTCTTCCAAATCCCTTCATTGCCTCGGGGTGTGACAGCCGGGCAGGACACTCAGGGCTTGTCCTCACTCCAGCCTTGTGCTGCTGCCCCGCTCCTTCAGCGCCCCCAGACTCATCCATCCTGCATCCATCCCCAAAACTCATCCATCCCCCCCGCCCAGCTCCACACAGCCCCAGGACTGGGTGGGTTTGGGGTCTCCTTAGAGCCCCCCAAGGAGGGGGAGCTGCTCTGGTGCCCCCCTGGCTGGCAGCTGTCCCTGGAGAAACCGAGCTGTGCTCAGCCAGAGGAGCCACAGAGGTGCCAAAAACGCACCAAAGCCAATTTTTCTACAGGGAGATACCCCTTATCTGCCCTGAAAAAGCGTGGGTTTGGTCCCTTTGGAACTGAGCCCCTCTGCTGAGCGTTCTGCTCCTCCCAGTGAGGCTGGTGTTTGAGCCAAGTGGCAGCAGTGACCCACGGTGACACAAAGCCATTTCCTGCCACACGAGGCAGGCTGGTGGCCCTCTGCCAGAGGGGACAATGAGGGACGGAGGGGCCTGGCCTGTGAGCCCTCGTGTTCCTGTTTACTTGGAGCCTGCTCGTGGGTCAGAGAGCTTTCTCTGGATCCTTTTCCAGCGATTTTGAGCTCAGTGGCAGCAGCAGCGCCCAAAATCCTGCAGGAATCCTCCTTCTCTCTGGGGTCCCTGGCACTGGTGGCTCTGTGCCATCAGGGGGGACCTTCCCCAGTCCTGCAAGGGGTCCCAGCAGCTCTGTCACCCCTGGAAGGACAGCAGGGCCCGAGGGCAGCTCCTGGGCCCCCTGAGGCCAGGAGGAGCCCGGGGCTCTGGGTGCTCCTGTCACACAGGGAAGGGACAAACATCAGGGAGGGGAGTTCCCGCTGTTATCTCGTCCTTCCTGCAGCCCAGAGCCCGACACACACCCTGCCTTTATCAGCCCTGCCCGCGGGCACAGCCGGGAGGGGCTGGGACAGCCACAGGGGCCGGGCAGGGGGACAGGAGAGTGGCACTGGGGACAGGAGAGTGGCACTGGGGGTGGGAGAGTGGCACTGTGGACAGGAGAGTGGCACTGGGGACAGGAGTGTGGCACTGGGGATGGGAGAGTGGCACTGGGGATGGGAGAGTGGCACTGGGGACAGAAACGTGACCCTGGGGATGGGAACATGGCACTGTGGACAGGAAAGTGGCACTGTGGACAGGAAAGTGACACCGGGGACAGCAACGTGGCACTGGGGACGGGAGAGTGGCACTGGGGACAGAAACGTGACCCTGGGGATGGGAACATGGCACTGGGGACAAGAACATGGCACTGTGGACAGGAAAGTGGCACTGGGGATGGGAATGTGGTACTGGGGATGGAAGAGTGACACTGGGGACAGGAACATGGCATTGGGGACAGGAAAGTGACACTGGGGATGAGAACATGGCACTGCAGAGGGGAAAGTGGCACTGGAGACAGGAGTGTGGCAGCAGGACAAGAACATGGCAGTGGGGACAACAAAGTGGCACTGGGGACAGGAATGTGGCCCTAGAAATGGGAATGTGGCAGTGGGACAAGAACATGGCACTGGGGACAAGAACAGGGCACTGGGGACAGGAAGGTGGCACTGGGGACAGGAAGGTGGCACTGGGGACAGGAAAATGGAATCAGAGAACTGCTGAGGTTGGAAAAGCTCTCTGGGATCATCGAGTCCAACCATGACCCCAGCACTGCCAGGGCCACCCCTAATCCATGTCCCCAGGTGCCACATCCAGCATGGTTTGACCACTCCAGGGATGGCGCCAGGGCCTGACCCCCCTTTCTGTGGAGGAATTTCTCCTGATCTCCACTCCAAACCTCCCCTGGAGCAGCCTGAGGCCTTTCCTCTTGTCCTGGGCCTGGGACTCAGGAGAAGAGCCCGACCCCCCCCTGGCTGCACCCTCAGGGGGTTGCCAGAGGAACCTGGGGGTGGGAGCACGGAGCTGGAGAAGGGATTGTGGTGCCTGGGGATGGGAACAGTCCTTGGGGGCTGGGACACGATGGCTGGAGTTGGGAATGTGGCTCTGGAGACTGAACACAACGCCTGGGGATGGGAACACGGTGCTTGAGAATGGGATCATGGTATCTGGAGAAGGAACCATGGCTCTGGAGAAGGAACATGGCTCTGGAGATGTAACCATGGTATCTGGAGAGGGAACCATGGCTTTGGAGAAGGAACCATGGTATCTGGAGAGGGAACATGGCTCTGGAGATGGAGCCATGGTATCTAGGAATGGGAATGGGAATGTGGCTCTGGAAAAAGAACCATGGTATCTGGGCAGAGGAAAGTGGCTCTGGAGATGGAACATGGCTCTGGAGATGGGACCATGGCATCTGGAGAAGGAACCATGGCTTTGGAGAAGGAACCACGGCTCTGGAGATGGGGATGTGGCTCTGGAGATGGAACTGTGGTACCTGGGCATAGGAAAGGGGCTCTGGAGAAGGAATCCTGGTTCTTGAGCATGGGAACACTGTGCTGGAGACTGGAACACAGTGCCATGGGATGGAAACAGTGCTTGAGGACAGGAATGTGGCACTGGAGATGGGAAACATGGTGCCTGGGGATGGGAACATGGTGCTTGAGGATGACAACATGGCTCTGAAGATGGGAAATGGTGCTGGAGAAGGAACCGTGGTATCTGGGAATGGGAATGTGGCTCTGGAGGAGGAATCCTGGTTCTTGAGGATGGGAACAGAGCACTGGAGACTGGAACATATCGTCTGAGGTTGGAAATGTGGCTCTGGAGAAGGAATCATGGTTCTTGAGGATGGGAACATGGCTCTGAAGATGGGAACTAGGTCCTGGAGAAGGAGCCATGGGACTTGGGGCTGGGAATGTGGCCCTGGAGGAGGAACCATGGTACTTGAGGATGGGAATGTGGCCCTGGAGAAGGAATCCTGGTCCTTGAGGATGGGAACATGGTGCTGGAGACCAGAACACATTCCCTGGGGATGTGAGTGTAGCTCTGGAGACTGGAACACGCTGCTGAAGACTGAAGCACAGCACCTGAGGATCGGAATGCGCCACTGCAGACAGCAGCACGGTGCCGGGGGGCACACACGTGCCTGCGGAGCGCGGTGGGCAGCCCCCGAGCCCGGGGGGACGCACCGAGCGGTGCCGGGACTCGAACCCGCGGCCTCGGGGCCGTGGGGGGCGGTGTGTGTGCGCGGGCGCTGCCGGCAGGGGGCGCTGCCGGGGGGGGGCGCGGCGCGCGCGCCTTTGTTGCCGTTGGCGCCTCTTCCTGCGCCGGGCGGCGG